GATAAATGATGATGATGATCTGGAATTTTCAGAAAAGAGGAAAACCTTGTGAGGTATACCTAAATTTCTGAAAATTTCAGACCAGAAATTTCTGGAATTTTTGGTACACATGCATTTTCATAAAATGAGCTCAATCATACCTGCTCAAAAGCTTCCTTCAGGTCATCACCCCCTTAAGAGTTGAGCATTGAATTAAGGAAGAATTGATGTGTTATTATGAAGGACATCTTAGGCGTTAGTGAACATGATATTAATGTTAGTTAATACATAGAGGATATTACACAGTGGCGAGAAGATATGAATTTTATGTTCGAGAGGCAAGAGCAATACCTCATGAATGAGCACAATGAACGAGTGAGATATTGTTCTTGCCACAAGAACATAAAATTCATATCTTCGAGCTAACGTGTTATGTTCTTATTATTATATATTAGACATACTGATGACTGCGTTTTTGACGATTTTCCAAAGATTTCCGACCACTTTCCAAAGATTTCTGAAAATTCTCCAAAACTTGTCCGAAGGTCACACAAATGTTGCCGAACATTTTTCGAAAAATTTCCAAAGATTACTGAAGACTTCTGAAGATTACCGAAGATTGCCAAAAACTTTCGAGGAAGACCCGAAGATGTTTTGATCATACACCAACGAATTTTAAGTACAATTTAAGAGACAAACTTATTATCAGTGAAATCATTGATATCTTCACTAGTGAAGATATGGAAAATACACCACCCGAGTCCCAGATGGGGTTTTGTATGAATTTTAAAAGTGGTGTATTTCCCAGTAAAACACTTGTTTCTATATAATAAAGCTGTGTGGACAACACTTCAGTGAGTAATTAAACTGATGAGGAATTACGTCTGGTAAAGGTTTTGATTCCAAAAACACATGGGTTCAACTGTTTTATCACTTTGTACAAAATGGAGCTCATTAACTTAATAATAGTGATAACTATATTTACGTGTTAATACACCTTATTCAAAAATGGCAACAAGTGTAGTATTCTTTTGTTTACATTGTAATTAGCTCTCCTTGCCTTGTCAACATGCACAAAATACAAAAGAATTTTGAAGTGAAAATGAGGCAAAGAGGGCTAATTAACATGCAAA